CGCCGCCCCGCCCCGGACGGAGCGCGGCGTGGGGCAAGATTCCTCCGCGAAGGCTCCTGGAGCGGGGCGGGAGGGACCGGGCGCCCGGCGCTGCACAAGCCCTTCCTTGTCGCGGGGAGGGCGATCCCCTCTCGCTCAGCCGCGGGGTCTGAGGCGCTCGGGCGGTGCCGGGGGACTTGAGCCCGCCTCGCGGGCCTTGGCCTTGTCCTCTGGGCAGCCCGAGCTCAGCCTCCCTCAGCCGGGCTGCGCAGGGGTCAAGCCGGAGGCCTGGGCAGCAGGCTGAAGGGGCTGATCCTGCCTGGCCAGTCCAAAACCGGTTTCTGGCCCAGCCGGGTCACTGGGAGCCCGGTGGGGGCTGGGCAGGGAGATCACCTCCAGCCCTGCCTGGTTTTCACCACCCAATGCAGGTGCCAGTGTGAGCGCTCCCCGGCACGAAGAGGAGGCTGCAACTTTCACGGGTAGAGCGTGCATCATGTTTAGTTACAAGCCCTGAGCTGACTTACGTAGGAATCAGTCTCGTACAGTCAGCATTGGGTTCCTGGCATTGGAAACCCGGAACCTGGGTTTTGGGAAACGCAAGCGGTCACCAGCCAGCTGGTCTGAGCGGAGCTGAGCTGGCTTACGCCGGGGCTGGGCATTCCCGTCCCCACCTCGTACAAGGAGCAGCGTTGTGTCCCCTTGAACACTGCTCCGCGCTTCACAAGGAGACTTCTTTCAGAAGGAAGATCTCAGTTTAGCTCCACCAGCATTGCGTTGTGCAGAAGAAACTATGTGGTCGAACTGGAACGTTAATTATCCGTAGATCAGCAATGGTACTGTCTTAATAACTTCACAACAGAAGCCTTGGGGAAAGAGCAGCAGAACAGGGCAGAGCCCCTTTTTTCTGAGCTGACATCCAAAATTCAGCACTGATTTCTACCCGTTAAATTCAGCAGTTTGCATATGGTGACAGAAATGCTACTGAATGTGGATCTCGGGATGCTGGCAGATTTTACAGATCCCATTATTCAGCCTTTGCATATTTATTTATGCATTCTTATCATTCCTGTCCACCTGTTCAAGCCTTGCCTCCATATCCACATTCCCCACACTACAAATTGCACTATTCGTGTTACTCCACTAATAAGCCAGCTGCCAACAGCCAGATTTCAATCAGTGTGAGTGACCCCAGACCAACTGAAAATACGGTCTGTTCCCTCCCCCAAGCACACAGGGACCTGTTCTGCTTAGTCACGGTGCTAACAGGCTCCTCCGTTCTGCGGGACTTACAGCAGAACGACGAGGACGCTGTGCCTGCCCAAAAGAAAATGGTCTTTCTGCTGAAGAAGTTAAACCACTTTCCAGCTTTCCCAGCTGCGTGTCTTTCCCCTGTCCACCACTTTGTGTCTCTGTCTCACACATACATGGTGCAGACGGAGGAGCAGACCTGACTGTGTGACAGGTCCTTCGGCTCCAGGACATTTTACAGATCAAGAGTGGCCCCCAGGGGTCAAACAAGTGAATCGGAGACCCTGATGAAAATTTGCTGCAGGCTAGATGGCTTTTTCCCCTCCTTTATCCTTCTTGCCTGCCTCATTCTCTATATTTAAGGTACTCAGCTTTCTGTTTCTTCTCATATAGCTTTACAATTTTAATTTGATTCTTTATCTTGGAAGTATTAGCCCTTATCATAGAGGCAGGTGTGTGTATTTATACTGTATTTATACTATGTTCTTTCTTTTTAAGAGCCCAGAAGGAAAAAGTTTCTTTTCAAAACTTCACATCCAATTCCTCATAAATAGCACAGTTCTTTTTCCCCAGTTCTCAGTCTCCTAGCTTCCTGCAAATGACTTCTAAATCTTTTCCCCCCGTAATGCCTTTTCTCTTTTATCCCTCGTAACACTCATTCTCCATTAACTGTCCCACTTGCCCACAATCCCAGTTGCCATATTTGACCTCCAACAACTCACAAAAGAAGGAAAAAACTGCACCAGATACCATCACTCACTTGGGGACAGCTGAAGCTGGATGGGACAAATAGTGCAATTCCTGATAAATCTCTCAATTGCTTGAAATGAATTCCAAAATCATATGGTTCGCTTTGAAATTTCAGTGCTTAAAGGTGCATCGATTGCACACATAATCTGACACTTGAGGTCAAAATCCCAGCATAAACACAGGCAAGTTTCCCAAGTGCACGACAGTGGCACCAACTTACACCAGGGCTGAACTCAGCTCTCTGCCAGAAAAGTTTGAGACTGTTGTTAAGCAATAATCAAAACTGTTTCCTCAGCAAAAATGTATTGCTGAACATCTGGGCAAACTCACTGTGCTAGAAAATGAAAATGGATAATACTGATTGTTCGCCTCAGTGCTGCATTTTGGATGTCATTCTTCTGTGGTAACACTTCACCATCAGAAATCTCCTGTGCACGTGCTCACATTCTGCAGTTTATTTTTGCTTGGTTTAGGTACTAATGGACTTACACAATTTATGTGCAAAAGTCTTTTGAGATTATCTTAGATTTTACTCAGTAAATCCAAAAATGTTATTGTTAATTAAATTATGTTTACCGTTTTGTAAAATTTGCAA